AGATCATGTGACCATTGGGAGAAAAAATCACAGTGGTCACTGAAAAGAGAAGCTGCATGAAAGGGTTAAATGTCAATGGTTACAAAAATAAACAAAAAATCTGTAGCAAAATAATAGCTTAAGGCAGAAGGGGAAGAAGCTGATTTGGGTAAACCAAGGATCCCGAGTAGTATGGGCCACCTTTCCCCGTTCTCACTGTGTGCCCTCATCCTCCTGGGAGCAGTGTGGAGCTAATTTCTGGTGTATCTGTTATGAGTTTCGTTCTGAAGAATGGATTCCAATGAAGTACATCCAGTCTATTGAATGATTCCAGGAAACATAGCGCTTATTGATCTTTCCTTTGAGGGTCAAAACCATCTGGTAAGGAACAGTGTGTTTGGTGTTGGTGAAGGATCTTTCCCTCTGATGTTTCCCTGGACACTCATTGGATTCATGCTGTTTCTTTAATACTGGACTTTCTTTATTATATATGTGGAATTTCTTGGATTCATTTATTTTAGATTATAATATATTTTCAGCGCTGCATTTTTTTAATTCACATGGGAAGCAGGACTTTCTGCTCAATTGGTACGGGGGATGGGTCATGGGCAGAACAAGTGAACCACAGAATGCAGGGCTAGTCAAGGGAGATCTCTCCTTGTTGGACCATTGCTTTATGTGCATGGCCTGTACTTTTTGAGTGGCTGAGCCTATATCAAACTAGCAGCCCAGCAGTACGTTAATTCAGTCCTGGTCAGAACAGGGGCGGACTGACCATTTGGAAACTCGGGCACTGCCCAGGGGCCCAGGGTCAGTAGGGGGCCCCATGAGATGCCCCTGGTACCTTTTTCATAAGCTTTTTTGAGTTTAGGCAAGGACACACGGGCCCCATGATCCCCTATTGCCCGGGGGCCCCATGAGTTGTCGGTCAGTCCCCTGAGTCAGAATGTCTGTTTTTTGACAGATACTGCTGGTATAGCTGCTGCATTTACACAGCAACTCTCGGCTGTCATTTTGGCAGCAGGAACTTGTTGGCAAATCCAAAACGGCAGAGAGGTAGTGAGGTAAAACAACAGAACATACTATACATGCCATGCCAGTGAATTAAAACCAGGCACATTTGCTAATTCCTAATCCTGAAGTATAAAAGAAACACACAACATTACAGTCTTGGCAGGTGACCTAAATGTATATTTTTCTCTTAAAAGAGAGGAATAGAAAGAAGTAAGAGAGTATCACTTAAGTCTGGTTCACATTTTCCTGTTTTTAAAACACATGCAAAATGTATTTTTAAGCATGGTTTTCATTTTCCTCATTCCTGCATTTTTGTTGGTGGAAAAGTGGAAGTGATACTATTCTATACAATGTGCTGCACATTATATTCTCCAGAGTACTTGACTGTATACACTATGCTAAACTATTCTGTATAACACATGCTTTTACTCTGTAAAGCTGATTGCAGTTTAAGGGGACCCATTCACTCTACGGATTGTGTTATTTTGTAATAACGCCCATCTCTGGTACCATGACCCATTTTTGAATTCAGTGTTTTTGATGTATGCTATGCAGTGTGGGTGTATTGCCTACTACTGTAATAGTGTGTTCAGTTGCCATTCAAATTAATGCCACTGCAATGCACCACAATTAGATGTGTGTTGCAGTAACTTGTGGCATGACACACATTATACCTTACGCTACCACAATACATATTTACACAGTTACATAGTTAGTCTGGCTGAAAAAAAAAAAAGGTTCATCCAGTTCAACCATTAAAAAAAAAAGTTATAATCCTATACCCACAGTTGGTTCAGAGGAAGGCAAAAAAAAAAACCCCCGGCAAAGCATGATGCAATTTTCTCCTGCGAGGAAAAAAAAATTCCCTCCTGATCCCCTGAGAGGCAATCAGATATTCCCTGGATCAACTTTACCTATTAATGTTAGTATCCAGTTATATTCTGTGTATCTAAGAAAGAATCCAGGCCTTTTTTAACCTCCCTAGTGGTATTTCCGAGTGTAGCTTGGGGTAGAGTTTCAGTACCAAAAGCGGTAACCCCAAGCTACACTCGGGCTTACCATGCAGTGTTGCATAGGGAGTCCCTGCAGCACTTATCTTGTCCTTCGCTCCTGTGATGCATCCCCTGCAGCGTCCCCGGCCATCTCCTCCGGCCGATGCCGGCATCCGGCTTACGTGTTCCGGTCCCTGTGACGTCGGGACGTACGGGCACCAGAACCGGTGGCAAATTTGAAATTTTTAAAAAAATGTCATTTTTTTAAAAATGATTATTACATAGTAAAACATTGCTGTTTCAAAATATTTCACATACATTTTGTCCCTACTGCTTTGTCCTGTCCCCTGCCTGCATTTTGACTGTTCTTTCTGCCTGGAAACTTAGAAACGTCCATGGCGTCCAAAAAGCGTCTCTTTATGTCAAAAGCGGTTTTAGACCGGCTAGAGAACAGCGATAGTAAATCAGAACCACTTGCAGAATTGAGTGATAATGATTCGTGGGGAAATTCGGCATCAGACACTGAAAACGATTCTGCGACTTTACTCAGTGATGTGCGAACTTGGCGCTATATTTCAAATTTCAGTGTTTTTGGTTTGATTATATTATTTAATTAAATGTATTATTATATTATTATTTTTTATGATTATTTATTAAATTATAATTTGTGATTTTGTGTTTCAAGTTTTATCATATCCGGAATGTTTACTAGACTCTTGTTCGGACAGATTTCAGTGAGTTATTCTTAAATTACAGGCCTACAATAAAGAAAATACATATTCCATGCAAAGAAATGGTACCGCTTTCAGCACCAAAAATCTGAAATAATCATACCGCTAGAGAGGTTAAAGCAATCCACAGAGCTGGCCAGAACCAACTCTTGAGAGAGTCTATTCCACATTTTCACAGCTCTCACTGTGAAGAAATCTTTTTGTGTTTGGAGATTAAATCTCTTTTCCTCCAGATGTAAAGAGTGCCCCCTTGTGCTCTGTGATGACCTCAGGGTGAATAGCTCTACACCGAGTTCACTATATGAACCATTGATGTATTTATACATGTTAATCATACCGCCCCCTAATCTCCTCTTCTCAAGAGGGAATACATTCAGTTCCTCTAATCATTCCTCATAGCTGAGCATACGTCAGTGTGAACAGACCCTAACTGACACAGATTTGTTTAGGTTCTGAAATTTGTACCTGAAATTCTTCTTTAACTAGTTCCAGACTTTGGATGTGCTACATGCAAAAAACGTCATAATTGTACACAGGATGTGTGTAGCATGTCCAGTCTCTCTGCCCTGCTTCTGGGACCCCCTCTCAGTATGCAACAATTATCAGTTTTGATTAATCCAAACTGGAATTACTGTATACTCAGAGAAGGTGTTGGCAGCTGTAGCTGTCAGAAAAATAGTCTGAATCAGTGTTTATAAATAGCACTTGCTCAGATATATACAAAGACACTTACATATTGTCACTTTTGTATCTTTCTATTCATTGAGATCAAAGGGATGAACTTAGATCTGCTAATGATGTTAGTTAACCACTTCCCATCCGGCCCACGTAGAAAAACGGCCGGACGGGAGCGCTGCTGATGCAGTTGGACATTTTTACACGTCCCCCCGCATACATTGCCTGTGCGCGCTCCCTGGGAGCACGCGGCACCGTGATCGTTGCCTGCTGTGTCCTCCAATCACAGATTGCTGCACGGGACCTCTGTGTGAGGTCCCGATTCATGCAATCACTGATTGGCCAATGAATAGTAGTAAACAAGATGTCACTTTCTGACATCATTGCTTACTACAAGTGAAATCTGTGAATGATCACAGAGGTCACATGGTACAAGGCTATTCACAACAGCCTTGTACCATGTGACAAGCTGTGACCAATCACAGCTCGCACAGTATTTCTCAATGGCTGCAGGAATGCAGCTGCAACAGGTCACAGCCGGCTTCCTTTATTAAACATGCTGGTGCCAGGGACCCAAAAATGGCACTGCTGGGCTGCACTGATGGGTGGCACTGATGGGCACTAGAGGGCAGAGGTGGGTGGCACTGCTGGGCACTGATAGGCACAGTGTGGGTGGCACTGCTGGGCACTTGTGGGCAGCACTGGTGGGTGGCACTGCTGTGCACCGATCATCAGGGCACTGATCATCAGTGCCCTGATGATTGGTGACGATCCCTCCTCTGACAACTGCCGTGATGCTGTGACAGTGTGAGGAAAGTGCAGCTGATAACCGGCAATTGAATTTTCCGGTGACCGTGTGTCATTGGACACAGCTGATCACGTGGTAAAATGCCACTGTGATTGGCCTTTTACCATACCACGGTGATCAGCTGTCATGGAGATCTCAGGGTGCGCGCCCCGGGGGCGCGCAGGAGAGCATGTTCTAGGACAGTGATGGCGAACCTTTTTGAGCCCGAGTGCCCAAACTGCAACCCAAAACCAACTTATTTCTTTTCAAAGTGCCAACACTGCAATGAAACCTGAATATCGAGCTTTTGGTTTAGAAAAAACAACTCGTACAGTAGTGCAAACTAATTAACAGCTTTTGTCTTAAAAGAAAAACAACGGCATGTCCTCTCAGATCTCCATGCCCTCCGAGACAACTATATTTCCACCCGTACGTCACTGGCCACGCCCACCTCGGCTACGTCGCCGCTGGCCCTGCCTAGAGAGAATTGTGGGAGATGTAGTTTCGAGGGGGGGTGCGGTGCGGCGTTACGGGATCAGTTTATGTCCATATTTAATTACCGTATTTTTCGCTCTATAAGACGCACCTTACCATAAAGACGCACCCTAGGTTTTAGAGGCAGAAAACAGGAAAAAAAAATTCTGAACTAATGGACTGCAGACATAGTAGAGGAGATGACCAGAGACTGCGGACAGTACAGGGATGACCAGAGACTGCGGACAGTACAGGTATGACCAGAGACTGCGGACATAGTACAGGAGATGACCAGAGACTGCAGACACAGTACAGGGGATGACCAGAGACTGCGGACATAGTACAGGAGATGACCAGAGACTGCGGACAGTACAGGGATGACCAGAGACTGCGGACAGTACAGGTATGACCGGAGACTGCGGACATAGTACAGGAGATGACCAGAGACTGCGGACATAGTACAGGAGATGACCAGAGACTGCGGACATAGTACAGGAGATGACCAGAGACTGCGGACATAGTACAGGAGATGACCAGAGACTGCGGACAGTACAGGGATGACCAGAGACTGCGGACAGTACAGGGATGACCAGAGACTGCGGACATAGTACAGGAGATGACCAGAGACTGCAGACACAGTACAGGAGATGACCAGAGACTGCGGACATAGTACAGGAGATGACCAGAGACTGCGGACATAGTACAGGAGATGACCAGAGACTGCGGACAGTACAGGAGATGACCAGAGACTGCGGACACAGTACAGGAGATGACCAGAGACTGCGGACACAGTACAGGAGATGACCAGAGACTGCGGACACAGTACAGGAGATGACCAGAGACTGCGGACACAGTACAGGAGATGACCAGAGACTGCGGACACAGTACAGGAGATGACCAGAGACTGCGGACACAGTACAGGGATGACCAGTGACTGCGGACAGTACAGGGATGACCAGAGACTGCGGACAGTACAGGGATGACCAGAGACTGCGGACAGTACAGGGATGACCAGAGACTGCGGACACAGTACAGGGATGACCAGAGACTGCGGACACAGTACAGGGATGACCAGAGACTGCGGACAGTACAGGGATGACCAGAGACTGCGGACAGTACAGGGATGACCAGAGACTGCGGACACAGTACAGGAGATGACCAGAGACTGCGGACACAGTACAGGAGATGACCAGAGACTGCGGACACAGTACAGGAGATGACCAGAGACTGCGGACACAGTACAGGGATGACCAGAGACTGCGGACACAGTACAGGGATGACCAGAGACTGCGGACACAGTACAGGAGATGACCAGAGACTGCGGACACAGTACAGGAGATGACCAGAGACTGCGGACACAGTGCAGGAGATGACCAGAGACTGCGGACACAGTACAGGAGATGACCAGAGACTGCGGACACAGTACAGGAGATGACCAGAGACTGCGGACACAGTACAGGGATGACCAGAGACTGCGGACAGTACAGGAGATGACCAGAGACTGCGGACAGTACAGGGATGACCAGAGACTGCGGACAGTACAGGAAATGACCAGAGACTGCGGAAAGCACAGGGATGACCAGAGACTGCGGACAGTACAGATGACTGCTGACCTTTGGGGAGGGAGGGGGAGCGGGTACCTGAATTTGACAGGTACCCGCTCTTACTCCCGCAGAGTTTTTTTTTTATCTTACCTGTTCCTTTATCCAGCCGCGCGCTGTCTTCCCGGCTTCTGTAGTGTGGGCGCTCGTCGGACAGCCGGATGCCCAGTGCGCATGCGCGAGAAGCGCTGCGCTTTGTGATTGGTCCGGCGGCTTCTGGGATCTGTCATGTGTCCCAGGTACCGCCTTACCATTCACAAAGAGCACTGCTTCTTGCGCATGCGCACTTGGGACCCGGCTGTCACGCACACTACAGAAGCCGGGAAGACAGCGCGCCGCTGGATTCTCCTGGCGTGCCCACAGATAAGGCTCGGCGTGCTGGCTGTGGCACGCGTGCCACGGGTTCGCCATCACTGTTCTAGGAGAATGTCATATGATGCCCTCCCAGAACTGGCCAGCCACAGTGAAGCCATCATTCAGCTATCTGAGGTCAGCAAGTGGTTAAAGCGGAGCTCCACCCAAAAGGGGAAGTTTCACTTTAAGGACTGTTCCGCCGCTCCTCATTGGCACCTTTGGGGAGTGGGTACCCGAATTTGACAGGTACCTGCTCCCACTTCCGGTCCGATCGCCTAGGTGATCGGAAGCAGAAGGTGTCCTCCCTCCCTTCGTCCCTGTAGTCTTTTGGGACACATGACAGGTCCCAGGAGACTACAGGACCATTCATGAAGTGCAGTGCTACTCGTGCATGCGCAGTGGGTACCCGGCTGTGAAGCTGCAAGCTATCACAGCCGAGTTCCCACACTGAAGATGCCTCCTGGAATACAGAATGGCTGGTGAAACGAGCTGCGGGGGACACACCACGGTACCGAGGGACAGGTAAGTGGCTGTTTTTTAAAAGTCAGCAGCTACAGTTTTTGTAGCTGCTGACTTTTATTTTTTGACAGGGTGAATGGAACTCCACTTTAGGTAATGACAAAGTTACTGCCGAATAAACAGGTCCATAGCAGAAATGTAAAAATTTTGCTGACCTAAATATTTGAAAGATTTTATAAATAACTTAAGATAATGCTTTGCAAAGTATAAGGTACTTACTACAACGTTACCCCAGGTACTGGAACAAAAAGATTTATTTGCATAATGAGCCATGAAACTATGGAATGCAGTAAAAATGTGGAAATACTTGTCAGACTAAATTTTTATCAGGGACTGAAAATCAAACTGTGGACTGAACACTTTTCTTGCAGCAAATGGTATCTGATGCAATAGATGAATTACTAATACATTCTGTGGATGGCACAATCCAAATTTTCTCTTTTCAAGGTACTTAGGGTTCCTGGATGTAGTAGGAGTTGTGGTCCATTCACATGGGGGTTTAGCACACCCTACAAATTCCAGCAGCTTGCTGTATGAACAACTGTTCATACAATGAGCAATTACCTGTGGTTGGAGACAGATGATCCTGGCTGAATGCAGTCGGCTTGGATCCAGCCATAATCACTGCAGGTAATTGTTGGCTGTGTGAACAGTCATGAATTGCTGTGACCGGCACCAGCCCGTCCTTGCTTTGTATAAGCTGAGAACCCAGGGGAGTGTCTACTGAGAGGCAAACAAGGTGTTTGCCTTGGGCTGCATTTTTTGGGGAGGACGGTGTTGCCCCCCAGGCAGAAGTTACACTGCAAGCAGTGGCATCACTATGGGGGTGTAGGGGCCTGCCAGAGGGGTGACACCAGGCCTGGACAGGCCATAGGGGCACCATGTGGTGTGTGTCACCAGCACTGAGGGGGCCACCCGCAGCGCTGACAGAATGAGCTAGCTGCTAGACAGATTCAATCTGGTGGCACCTCAATTTTTAGGTATTGTGTATGGACTCCCCAATGTTTTCCATTCCCTTTCTCCCTGTTTTTGAAACAGATTCAAATTGGCCAGCACTGTCCATGTGATGGTGCAGACCAATTAGAATGACTCTTGTTCATAAATGCTGAGAGGTACGGATGCTGCAGGGATTTCAACTTCCCGGACCGGTGAAGTGGCATCCCAGGCCCCTGACGGTGGGGGATCACTGGACACTGAAGAAGAGTGTGGGGAGGATTCATCGCACCTACAGCCGAGCTCTCCTCTAACTGGCAATGTTCCTCTCCTATTGACCCCCAGCACCTCTCTAGGGGGACTTTATTCCTCGCACCAACCATGGCTGCAACTATAGCCAGCTCTTTCATCTGACAGAAGAGACAGGCTAGGGAGTCCAACAGTGACCGGGTGTGTACTGGTCCAAGAGATGCAGCAGCCCCAGCAAGGATGTCCAATCCCTGTGTGAGAGGTATGTCCTGGGGTTGTTCAGGAGAGTCCACTTCTGCAGCGGTCAGTGCTACTCCATACATCCCTCCGTACACCTGTCCTCCCATCCACCCTTCCCTCCTCCCATTCATCCTTCTGCCCCTCCATCCATACATCTGTCCCTCCATCCACTCTTCCCTCCTTCCATTCATCCCCCCATCCATCCATACATCTGTCCATACATCCATCCCTCCATCCACCCTTCCCTCCTTCCATTCATCCATCCGTATATCTGTCCATCCATCCCTCCATACATCTGTCCCCCCATCCATCCCTCCATACATCTGCCCCCCCCCCCTACACCCTTCCCTCCTTCCATGCATTCACACATACAATACATCTGTCCATCCATCCCTCCATACATCTGTTCCCCCATCCACCCTTCCCTCCTTTCATACATCTTTCCATCCATCCATCTGCCCCTCAATCCATCCTTCCACCCATCCTTCCATACATCTGTCCCCCCATCCACCTTTCCCTCCACCCATCCATCCATACATCTGTCCCCCCAATCCATCCATCCACCCATCCCTTTATACATATGCCCCCCCCCATCCACCCTTCCATCTATGCATCCATCCTCCATACATCTGTGCCCCCCGCATACATCTGGAGTTTACAGATGAAGGGGTGGATCTTGAACAAGAAAGGGTGGGACAAATGTGGATGAGGGGGCACCTGATTCTAGTCCTGCCTAGGGCAGCACAAAACCAAAATACACCACTGAGCACCCATAGCTCCTCCCACACACCCATCAATCCAAATACAGGAATCTGAAGATTCTTGCCAGTGGAATTCGCAGGCTGTGTGCTAATCAGCCATTTAAATTATTATTATTATACAGTATTTATATAGCGCCAAAGGGTATGCTCAGCGCTGTACAGTAGCAAGGGGGACAGAACATGAGACAAGACAGTAACAAAACAGTACACGAGGGGTTCGAGGGCCCTGCTCTTTCGAGCTTACAATCTAGGAGGGAGGGGAAGGTGATACAGGAGGAGATGGCTGTGGGGGATGGAGTGGTGGGAGGAGTGGAGGAGGTTGTTAGGTGAGGTCAGGTGTTAGGTGAGGTTGGGGTAGGCTTCCCTGAAGAGGAAGGTTTTCAGGGTGCGCCTGAAGGTGAGGAGGGTGGGTGACAGTCTGATGGATTGGGGTAGGGAGTTCCAGAGGATGGGGGAAGTCCTAGAGAAGTCCTGCAATCGGGTGTGGGAGGAGGAGGAGACCAGGGAGCTAGAGAGTAGGAGGTCCTGTGAGGAGCGGAGGGCACGGGTAGGGTAGTATTTGGGTATCGGGTCAGTTATGTAGTTTGGGGCGGCGTTGTGAATGGCTTTGTAGGTCAGGGTTAGCAGTTTGAATTTGATGCGTTGGGCAATCGGGAGCCAGTGAAGGGATTGGCAGAGGAGGGAGGCAGATGTGGAGCGGTTGGTGAGGTGGATGAGTCTAGCCGCTGAGTTTAGGATCGACTGGAGTGGGGATAGCGTTCGTTTGGGTAGGCCAGTGAGAAGGGAATTGCAATAGTCCAGGCATGAGATGATGAGGGAGTGTACGAGTTGTTTGGTGGTGTCTGGGGTGAGGAATGTGCGTATCTTGGAGATGTTGCGGAGGTGGAGCCTGCAATATCTAGATAGCAGTTGGATGTGGGGTAGGAAGGAGAGGTGGGAGTCCAGTATGACACCCAGGACTTTGGCGTGTGGGAGAGATGGTGGCGTTGTTAGTAGTGATGGAGAGGATGGGGGGGGCGCGGGGTGGGGGGAAGACCAGGAGCTCGGTTTTGGATAGGTTAAGTTTGAGGAAATGGACCGACATCCAGTCTGATATGTCGTTTAGGAGGTGGGCAATGCGGGCAGAGAGTGAGGGGGTGAGGTGGGGGGGGTGGAGAGGTAAATTTGGGTGTCGTCGGCATAGAGGTGGTAATTGAAGCCATGGGAGTGAATAAGTTTGCCAAGGGAGGAGGTATACATGGAGAAGAGGAGGGGCCCAAGGACAGAGCCTTGGGGGACCCCGACAGAGAAGGGGAGGGAGGGGGAGGTGGTAGTGTTGTAGGTGACGCTGAAGGAGCGTTGGGAAAGGTAGGAGGAGAACCAGGAGAGAGCAGCGTCCCTGATGCCAAGGGAGTGCAGTTTGGCAAGGAGGAGAGGGTGGTCAACAGTGTCGAAGGCCGCGGAGAGGTCGAGGAGCAGGAGGATAGAATAGTGGCCATTGGCTTTGGCGGTTAGCAGGTCATTGGTGATTTTAAGTAGGGTGGTTTCGGTGGAGTGCAGGGGACAGAAGCCAGACTGTAGGGGTCAAAGAGGTTGTTATCAGTGAGGTGGGCACTTAGGCGATTGTAGGCCAGGCGCTCAAGGAGCTTGGAGGTGAAAGGCAGCAGGGAGATGGGTCTAAGGTTGTTAAGGTTAGTGGGGTCGAGGGAGGGTTTTTTGAGTAGGGGTGATGTGTGCGTGTTTTAGAGGGGAGGGGAAGGTGCCGGTGGAGAGGGAGAAATTGAAGATGTGGGTGAGGGAGCGAATGATGGAGGGGGGGGTGACTGGAGAAACTGTGAGGGGATAGGGTCCAGAGGGCAGGTGGTGAGGCGGGCTTCAGTGAAGACCTTAGAGACCTCCTCAAGGGTAGTTGGGCTGAAGGAGCGGAGTGCA